ATTAAAATTCTCTAATAGGGAAGGTTAGGATATCAGAAGTAAAAGTCTTATCTTCCTGCCTCTGCCTCTACTAGTCCTCGTTTCCAAAAATAATTATTAAGTTTCTTGTGTTTCCTTAAAAAATGTTATGCATATTATCATACTTAGGCGACTTTTTTATTTATATCAATAAGATTTTACTGAAATGGCTTCTTGATTTCCATCTTTCACTGCCTGACACAGTTTTGAGATCTTTCCACCAGCACAGGCAGAACAGATCATTCTTTGTGCAGCTGCATAATATCTTCTTGTGTGGTGATGGGATCAATTCCCTACTGTACACAAGTAGTTTCTCTCCAGGTTTTTGTTATTACAAGCAATGCTGTCATAAATATCTAAAGAAGAAATGTAAAGGTTGGTATGAGTCAACCTTGTAGAAGTAACACAATTATCAAAGTGATCATTTTTCATATTTAATATTAAGTTTTATATTATTATTTTTTCAATATTTGGTAGAAATTTTACAGAAAAATTAAAATTCACTCCATAGTTTGTGATATCTTTGCTATAACATTGCACAGATACTTATCAATATTCATATTAAATTTCTCTCACACTTAAAGAAAATTTAAAATGAAGGAATATAACCAGCTATGTTTCATTTTATTGAAGATGGGGAAAGGGGATAGAGAATTCAAATGTAGGCGATGACAGAGTTTATTTTGAGTTATTATTACACATTGGAACTAAAAAGTGTGGGATCTCTTTAAAACAATAATCCTAAAACAAGGCTAAGCAAAAGTCTAGTTTAGAAAAGAAGAAATTAAAGAGTATCTTGTGTTTTCCTGAAATCAGACTCCAACTCCTTTTCCTTTCGGGTTCTTCTCCTTCACAGCAGATTTTGTTAGAGTAATTGAATCTTGCTTTCATAATGTGGAACCCGAAGAAGAAATTTAATAAGGATCTCACCAATGCCAAAGATAGTTAGATGATTATTTCATGTTTTTTGCTAAGATGCATTAATTTTCCCATTTGCAATTTTGCCAGAAGCTAGAGATGTCAGTCTTTTCTCATTTAAAAGGGAGCAAAAATCCAATAAGACCACTGCTGTGGAAGGAGGGCACTTGGGAAAACTGCCTTCTAATTTTAAGTAAATTACTAGTTTTGATTTGTTCTTAGTGGACCACTGCATCTTGTCATCAGCAGCTGAATGCTCAGCTTCAATAACCAGATCTGATACTCTGGCTCAATTAAACTGGGGTCCAGTTAATGAAAATAAGATCATCAGATTCCAGTCTTCTGTAGACTAATAATCATTAGTTAATATGCACTGGGAATCAACAAAGTGAATAGTGTGAATCTGTAGCTTTTTGGAAACACAATCATCTTATTAATTCGTTAAATTCTCTTGATCAAGTTATACGACATTCAACAAACTGCACTCCAAAACAATTACAAGTTTCAAGGTTTCCTTTTTGGCTTGTATGAAAATGCTAGAAAGCATCCATAGGAAACAGCTACTTCTTTCTCTAGAGGCTTCATTGGGATCTCTCAATATGTGCATTTATAATATCATAATTTACATGAGCACTACACAGTCAATAATAAGAGCACACATTTTCTCATGCAATTCAAATCTCATCACAGGGAGTCCACTTTTTAGAAAGACACAAAAACAAATAGCTCAAATGAAGAAATATCTCCTGGCTTGTCTGTGATTAAATAGTCTGTCCTTGGGCATTATTCATTAACTACACCTTTCAAACAAAATATGTTACACATGTAGAATAATAATTATTATTATAGTCACTTATAGTAAGTGTCAAAATTCACAAATGTCAAAATCAGAAATTGAAAGCATTTGTAGAAAGAAGACCACAACAGAGAATGTGTGTTCATGTACTCTTAGCTAAGCCATACATGTGCAATGAGATTTCCTTAAGAGGAACAACAAAAAACCCTATGGCTACAAATGAATATAAATATTATTGGGATTCACAGGATAAACAAATATGCTATTAGATGGGAATTACTAATTTCTGTATATATGACCCAGGTTAACTATTATTACGTGTTGAGAGTCCATTCATGGAATTTGCAAAATATATATTAATATCCTCTTCTGTACGTTGGGTTCAAATATGGCCTATGAAAAAGTTTCTGTTTAATTATAACATTAATGATGCAATTAATATTTATTCAAATTCCCCTTCAATTTTACACATTGTAAATGTCCTTGAACTTTAAATTTGAAAAAGGACTCTTAAAATATCTGGATATAGGCACTCTTTCAGAGTCTCCCAGCAGGGCCTCACAGCCCTGGCCCAGAAAGAGACCTTGCCAAGCTTTTCCTGTTGCTATATTTCCCTCCTTTCCAGAACTCTGGGCACAGAGGTCATGGGGCTTCCCAGCTCTCTGTGCTTAGTCAGGTTCAATCTCTACTAAAAGGAAAAGAGGGTAGGTGATATGGAATTTATATTACATTGAAATGAAAACATCTGGGAACCCCTCACAGGGCAGAGGGAAAGTGCTTTTCCACGGTTAGAGTAGCAGGATGCTCAACCATTTAGCTTCTCATGGTCACACTGTTTAGTCAGCCCGTAATGGCTTGTAGCCTCACACAGGAAGCTTCAGGATTGCTGTTAAAGTACACCAAGTTAAAGGAGACATTAAAAGCTGGCAGTTCTGGTGAACCATCATGATGGTTCTATTAATAACTCCCCAGGTGTTAAGAGAAGAAAACCAGGAACGGTAATGGAGTGGTGCATTTTTTTTAGGAAAAAAGACAACCCATATCTCAACTGAGAAAAAAATTATGGATATAGATTTTCATTTTCATTTAAAGACATAATTATAGTTCTCAAAACATAAACTACAGAGATAGATGAAAAAAAGAACATTTACAACTGCAAAGAGCTACTGGATATGCTTTATGGCTTAGTCATTTGTTATTGAAAGTTATCATAGCATTCATTTCATTCTGTGATGAATCTTCAGTTAAGACTGAATTGTGTCCCAAAGTGTTTACAGTGGCCATCTAGGTTGTGAGATATTTTTATCCTTTTGTGTATATATTTTCTAAAGCCTCTTTAATGAACATGGATTGTATACAGCCTTTCTCTATCTGTCCAAATATGGTGTATATAATTGATATTCAAATTCTCACTATGTGTGCTCCTTATTGCTACCAAAAAATCCTGCCTAAAGTTGGTAACTGTGGAAGCAGATGATGGATACATGGGGGGTTGCTCATCATACATTCTCTCTACTCTTCCCTAAGTTCAGACATATCATAAAAAGGCAGTTAAAAAATGTACTACCTATTTATAGACAGTCTTCTGCCAGGGTTTGTACTGAAAAAGTTATAAAATAGGTCCCAATTCTCTAGAAATATACAATTTAGGACATGCAATGCTGATGAAGGTTGACATGTAGAAAGTAAAATGAATTCACTTTTGCAGTTTTCATCATGGTTATCTCTTTTCTCCTAATTCTCCATTGGCCTTCCTCAAACTTTGACCACTCCCTCATCCTCTCTGTTATTTGAGAATCATCAAGTCCTGCTAGTTTTCCCTATAGTTTCTCTCAGGGCCACTGTTTTTCACTTTCTGAGCCCACTATGTGGGCCCTTGTCATTTTATGCCTAGATTGCTGCAAAGACATCTTACTTGTGCTCCTTAATCTCTGGTCTCACTTGATTTCAAACTTCACCTTAAATCCTCCTGTCAAATTCTACCTCCCAAAACAGAAGTTATCGTTGCTCTATTTTAGGAACATGAGGCCCACTCTTCCCATGTTCTTCCAACATGGCCATTCTGCATCCTTCAGTCATTCCTCTTACTAATCCCTCAGGAAAACTTATCCACCCATTTTGCTGTCTCTGAGTCTTTGCTCAGTCTTCTGCCCCACCGTACACTTCCATAAACTCCCTCATTTATTAATTTGTTATAAATACTTATTTACATAGATATGTATTGAATACTTTCAACTTCTTCCTCCATAAATGTCCTATTATGACAACTATCATTTCACCTTCCTCTGAATTATGAATTCAGTGTTTATGAATGTCATCTGAACCACACGATCTTTGTGGGCTAAGTGATCCAGTGGTTTTCAACCCTGGGTGCACAAGAGGATCACCAGAGGAGTTTTAAAAACATTCATCCCGTGCTAATTAAATCATAATCTCTGGTGGTAGAACACAAACATGAGAAAAAAAATTTTTTTGATATCAAGTATTTAAAAAATGTATCAGGTGATTCTGACAAGTTGGGAGTTGAGAAGCATTCATCTGGACAATATTAAGTTTCTTGATTTGTATGTATAATTCATTCATTTGGCCAATAGCTCCAGTGATTATTGCAGAGGTAGAAAACTGGCAGCCCTGGCATGTTTTCTGTGGTCCACATAGAATGTTTTTGAAAAATTTTAGACAATACTTTAAAATTGGGAGATTCATCACAAACATTCGGATACCCAGCTCCTCTTGGAAAAACGAGAGATCTGGTGAAACTGGGCTTGCACTCTTGGAAAGGCAACACTGGCCACAACTGAATAGCAGCTATTCCTCTAGACTGAGAGAGGGCTTCTAGTTGGTTGTGCTCCCCCCCTCCATTCCCTACAGTCCCTCACAGGGGGCTGAGTGTTAATTGTCATTTACTGTATCATTTGCATAGCTGTAAAAGCTACTACTTCAGTAGTAGGAGAATCATTTCTCTGAAATGGAACCTCACCTGGCTACTTTAACCTCCGCCTACCTCCTCCCCTAGTAAGGCTCACTGTTAAAGTAGAAAGTATTTCTATGTGTCCAATATCCAGGCAACCAGCCCAGTTTATTTATTTGTTATCATCCTGGCCTCAGTAATGATCTGGGTTTGTAGCCCCTGACCTGGTATGGCAAGTCTGTGCTAAGTGCTAGGGATACACAAGAATGAGGTACAGCGCCCTCTTTGGAGGAAGTGACACTTCATTGAGCAGATACAGACGTACTAAGCTTATAAATTAGGTGTACGAGTGCATACCTGATTCTGCTGAACTTAGAGTATGACCTCCAAATTTTATTTCTGTTTGGCGGAGTTTAGTCATGTTTAGCAGTTGCGTGACATGTGGAACATCTGTTGTTAGTTGACAGCTTCTGGGAATAATGTCTACAGGTTCATCTGTTGGAAAGGGAACTCCACGTACAGCTGAAAATAAAGACAAACACTCATTTTTAAAACGTAAGCCATTTCTGCCAAGTGGACATATTTTATAAATGAAACCAATTAAAGGAAAAGATTTTAGAGTACAACTTTGGATGAATTATTCGACATTTCAGCCTTGGTTTTCTTATCTGTAAAATGAGCTTGGTAATTTTACTGCTTACTTCTTAGGCTTGTAGAAAGAATTAAATGAGATGAAGCATATAACATATGGAGTGCATTCAGAGAACTATGCAATAAGTAAAAGCATTCATTGGAAATATTTTATATTTGCTTTTCAATACTAGAGATGTGACTTGAGAGAACAAGTTGGGTATGCTCCTATTTAGATTTCTGGGAGTATATCAGCTCATTTATATGAGATCATTATGTACAATGACATTATTGAATAACCTAAGAACCCACAATCATTATATGAGTACATTAACTTCTTAACTTTTTATTTTGAAATAATTTTAGACTTACAAAAAAGTTTCAAAAAAGTATAGTTTCCTATATACCCTCTACCCAGCTTCTTCTGTTAAAATCCTACCTTTTAATACTTTCAAAAAAATAGTTTATTAAAATTACAATAGTATTTTAATTTCACTTACATAGTGATTTTGATATAGTGATATTTTAATTTTCTTTTAGTACATTTTCTGTTCTTGCTCTTAAGACATTTTACTAACAGTTCATTTTTTCCTATTTTTTTGTATGACCTCTTTTATGGTAAATATATTAAGCCTTGTCATTTGTAGCAAGTAGAAATATCAATTAGTATTAATATCTTGGAAAGCAATTTTATTGTATATATCAAAGCTTTAAAATGTTGATACTGTTTTACTTAGTAATTTCATTTTATGAATCTATTCTAAGTAAAAAAAAATTAGAAACTCAAAGATCTATGTAAATAGGTTCTATAATTTCTGAAAAATAAGCAACTTAAATTTCCAGCACTTGAGGAGTGTTAAACACATTTTGTGTTTCATGGGATAGCACAGTAAAGAAACACAAGAAATTGTATTTATGAAGGTATCTTAATGATATGGAAAAAGTTCAAAATAAGAAGTTAAATGGAAATAATAGATACCAAAAACTCTATCTCGACTGTAGAAAATAAATATATACCATAGTATGAGTGTCAAAAAGACTGGAAGGAAATATACCAAAATGTAAAATAACCTTAGGTGGTTAGCTTAAGCATAGTTTTAATTTTATTCTTCACAATAACTTCTATATATGTTGGATTTTTATGAGTAAAGTTTCTATTTTTAAAATCTACTGGGGAAAATATTTGTGTGTTTATTTGTGAATCTGAATAGTAAGAGAAATTCAACCAATCATGCCTCAAAAACCATCCTTAGGTAAGTATAAATTCTCACCAAGTTAATAAAGGCAAATGATGTTAGAAGAGGTTTCTGTGCGCCCTAGCCATGGTATTTTCCTAATTGGATCCTAATGTCCTAATCTGAAAAAGGAAAATGAATCATTTAATAAAAACTTAAATACTCATCAGCAGGATAATGGTTTCTGAGTTGTCTAATGCCCCAGTCATTAAAAATGCTGTAGATTTACAAATTTTAGTTTTCAGGTATTCTATATCCATTCTTTATTTTCCATTGATCTTTAGAAAATCAATATAAAGTAACTGAGTAAATGAACTCTCAAGATAGTAAACATTTGGAAAAAAATAACTAACTCCAGATATTTGACATATCATTACAAACTCCTCTGAGGAAGAAAAAGATAATTTCCACATCAATGACAATCTTGATAAACTAAGATTTTATATTAAAAGACAAAGAGAATTCTGGAGGTCAATAAGAAACTAAAATGCTACATCCTGAATCCTATCAAGAGAATCACAAAACCGTTGGCTTATAGGGATTGTGTGATTAGCACAAGATAAAATGGCATAAAAAGTTTGAAATGTATCAACACAAAACCTGAGTTTCCAACTAATAAGAGACAGATAGTAAATCTCTGGTAACCATGAATCCATAAGTTTTTATGGAAGACAGAACAAGGCAGAGACTGTTACAAAAGTCCAATCTGAATCTTGGGAACATGGTTGACATGCAGACCAGATTTCACATTAAAAGGCTCAACTCCCCTCTGTGTCATCTTTCTTTTCTGTATATCTACTCTTCCTTTGCACACAGAACTGTCTCACTACTTATTGGATTATTCTGAGGGAAACTGTGGGCAGTATAAAAACCTGCAACAGAAGGAAAAGTAAAAAGACCCTGTTAGTTGATTATTTAAAATAAAGACTAATCATTAAAGCCCATTTAGCAACTACAAGCTCTCAAACTTTCTCTGAGACTTTGTGGAGGAAAACTTGGAAAGGGGCTTTAGCCTCATTTTTGTGAAACCAAACTAAAGAAGGTGCTTTCGGACCATCTGTTATCTGGAAGCTGGATGTTCTATAGCATTAAATGAAAGTTAACTTGTCTCCCTACCGCCTGCCTTACCACTAACTACCCTTTCTCCATGTCCAATTACTATGTCAATTTATTTTATTTTATTTAGCATTTACAGCTTGATTTAAAAATAACAGTTAAGTCTGAAAATAGCATAGACCTTACATAAAAATTAAATAGTGCTGAATTGTTCATAGAGAGCATGGTCTGCCTTCATTCACTTACTCATTCCGTCATTCAGCAAGCATTTATGGAGACTCTACCATATGCCAGCCACTTGTCTAATGGCTGGGAATCTAGTGGTGAGCCAGAGCAACCGCCTCCTTGCCTTTTTGAAGCTTACATCTAACAGAGACTATGAAACAAATCAAATCATAAATAATTATTTAATTATAATTTTGTTAAGTGCTCTGAAGGAAGAGTTCAAGGTGATGAAAGAGCATAATGGGGTAATCTAACAGCATAGGGTGTCATGAAAGTCTTGTCTGAGAAAGAGATACCTCAGCTGAGTCATAAAAGATAAGTAGAAAGCAGACTGGTGATAGGGGAGTGGGAGTGATCACTGAGGAGGAGGGAACAGAGCACTGAAGATTGTAAAAGCAAAAGGACTTCAGCGCATTCTGGGAATTGAAAGAAAGTTCTGCTAAAGGGTTGCTAGCATGGGAGACAATGGTGGGAGAACTCCAATGATATATTTAGGACAGCACCTGGTTGGAAGGGGATGCTCAGTAAATGGTCATGGACAAAGCCCCTTAATAACAGCTTGGACTAGATTAAATGCAGCTGTCAAATCTTCCTTTTTTTCCCTTATTCTTTGTTCAGCTATATCCTGAAAAGTACTCCATGTATATTTTATTTGGATGTCACAACTTTCTCCCAAGATGACAAATAGCAAATCAAGCTGGCAATCAGATACTAAGGGACCAGAGCCTGTCTGCCTTGTTCTTTCAGACAATTTCTGTCTTCTGGAAGGGATTGTGTATGGAAACATACAGACTGTCTGATTAACATCTAGATAATGACATAGCAGAATCCGAACTGCTTTTGCTAACAAATATGACAGCACATAATGTTGGCTGGAATGGTCAGTTCAGAATGGCAAAATGGTACATGAAGGAGAAGGCTATGAGAAAGCTGACAGATTTGCTCATGTAGCACCCAAGCACAACCAGATGGTGGATTTTTTTTTGTGGTGTTTTTGCTCCTAATGAGTTCGTGTATTATTAGAATGTTTGAGTGACTTTATAACCCTGTTCGCCTTTCTTTGGCCATAAAGCCATCATAAAATGAACCATTCTGTAGGTGTTTAATATCTTTGATGAGAATCTTAACTAGCTTTAAAAATTAAGTCATCAATTTTAATACATATATAAAATACTTTATGCATTAAAAATCATCATCTCCATTTTATTAGGGGGAAATGCCTTATAAAGTAGTGAGATTTCTAACTGCTTTAGTTCATGGCTCCTCCTAATTTATATAGTTTAAATAAGAACTAATTTTATAATAGTTCACTCATCCCAGACTCATCTATAGTCATCTTATTTATTTGGTAATAGCCTACAGTGCCTAGAATAGTGCCTTAGGTATAGCAAACTCTACCTCTCTGAAACACCAGTGAGAGCCAAGCACAAAACACAAAGGTCTCTGCCAAGATACTGCTATGAAGTCTGTTCATTTCTGGTTCATTCACTCACTCATTTGCCATATAACCACCAGATCTTCTCTGGGACTGGCATGGATTGAAATTCCTGGCCTTGTGGAGTTTACTGTATAATGCTGAAAGAGATTAAGCAGCAGCATATTATAGTGATTAGGAGCACGGGCTCTGGAGCAAGGTTCTTGGGTCCATATTCCAGCTCCACTACTAATTAGCTGTGTGACCTTAGCACAGTGACTTCACCTCACTGAACCCCGCTCTCCTAATCTGTAAATCATGGATATAAAAAGAGTACTTACCTCATAGGGCTATTGTGATGATTAATGTATATGAGGGCATAACAAAAGTGCCTGGTATGCAGCAAGTGCTACGTAAATATTTATGTAAATTATTTTATTACAATGGTGACAAAACCATTACATCTTACTGTTTTTTAATAATAGAAGGTTTTGATCAACACTATGGGGCTCACACAGTAGTAATATTCTCCAGGGATTAGGGGGTTGGGGGCTAAACTCACAACTAATGGACATGGTGAGCATTTCAGAGGGAAAGGGCATGCCTCTAATCCTCGCTTGGGTGAAGCAAAGACATAAAATGTAATCAAAATGTGTGTACCCTCATAATATCCTGAAATAAAAATAAAAAAAGAAGGTTCTGATGTCTAAAGAGGCAAATAAACCCGGGCTACACCCCAAACTTGGCTATCCTGAATGAATCATGCGCTTTGAGCTTTTTTTAAAAACATAATTTATTGAGGAGAAATGCACATTAAGATAAAATTGACCATTTTAAAGTGAACTATTCAGTGGTACTTAGCACATTCACAATGCTATGTAACTACCACTCTGTCTGCTTCCAAGACATTCCCCTCACTACAAAGGGAAGCCTGTCACCCATTAAGTGGTTTCTCCCCAGTT